CCCAGAATGTAAATTGCACTCACTGACTGCCTACAGAATGTACATTACACTCACTGACTACTTTTCCCTCTGCCCAGAGAAGAATTAGTTGCACCGGTCTGAACAGGCGGCGCGAACATAATCCTACTTGGTGGTTGATATATGAGACCACCGCTGTGTTGTCTGTCAACACATGGTGACCTCTCAATTGAGGAAGAAAGAATTTCAGTGCTAGAAATATGGCCCGCAATTCTAGGCAATTTATATGCCACTCCAGATGATGGCTGCTCCAGATACCATGAGGAACGTGTCTGTCATTACCGTCTTGCGATAAGGAGACACCCCTAGAGTGTGACTCATGGCTAGAAACCAGGGACAACTGGCATCGCCGTGTGACACTGATTATTATCAGCAGTTTCATCCTCGGATGAAACCCCCAACTTTTCAGCCTCCACTGAAATGGTTTCCTGTGCAATAGGCCCAAAGGTATAACATTGGCTGCTGCTACCATAAGTTCCAACAGTCTCTCATAGAGATTTGAGGGGATGTCAAGATACAGCTTTATCTTGCTCAATATTGATAGGATTGACCCTACGCATGTTGGGGATAGAAACGCCCTCATCGTAGTGCATCCTTATAACCCCTAGAAAAGTTGTCCACCTCACTGGAGAAAGCATACTTTTCTGAGGTTCAACCTGTGCCCCAAGCTCTTCATGTGGGCGAGAACAATATTTTGATGTTGAACCACCAGTTCCCTGGATCATGCTAGAATTAAGCAGTCATCCAGATAGTTTAGTACTCATCTTTGGCTCCTCTTCCAGATCCATACGTGATCCCCCGAACCTGAGACAGATGGCTTCCTCAGCAGCAGCCAGCCCAAAACTCGCTTCAGCTGAGAAGAGAGCGAGTCACGAGCGGAGCTGCCTAATTGTAAGGCGTTCTCAATGCGCACACTCAGACCTCTCGAGGGCTGCCGTGACATGCTCCAATCCCTAGACACTTCACACAGAAAATGTGCATTCCTCCCCGTGATGAAATGGGAGCAAGGCCTATTCCTGAATTCTCTCATTCACACTTTTCTCCATTTTTTTAAAGGGACAGAAAAGAACAAAAGATTTTTCTTATTTTTGGAACAGACAGAGAGGAAAGTCTTTTTGCGAGCATTACACAAATGACCGACATGTAGTTAATATATTTATGTATTAATTATGTATTAATTATGTATTAATATTAATATGTAGATAATAAGGCTGACAGCGCAGTTTACAGGTGTCATTTATATATCACGCGGCGCGCTTAATTGGCATGTCACTTGATCACGGCAGGCCTATAAATAGGCATGATGTTACACAAGCTTCAGATACCGGTCATGCATGAGGGTGCTTCCCACAGCATTCAGCTAATGCAATGTGGAGTCGAAGGGAACACTTGGTGGTGGTGGTGGGTGGGCTGTTATAATAAATCAGTTACTGCCCCAAAATGGATTATGTACAGTATTGTGCAAACATCTTAGGCACATGCAAATAAATGCAGTAGAGCAAAGATGACAAAAATAATTAAATTAAATGATTCTACTTAAAAAAAATACTATAAAGAGCAGTAAACAGTAATAAATGAAACAAAGTCAATATTCAGTGTGACGACCCTGAAAAAAAAACAGACTTTGACTGTCACACATGCTTCTTATTTTTGCAGCAAAACACAGCAGCCATCATTATGCTTTGCATAATATGTTGCTTTTCTTTAATGACATACAAACGTAATGAAATTAGCATTTTTATTTTATGCTAGAAACTAGAAAACTGTTTGGAAATCTAAAATGTTTTTGTACTGACTGGATAATGTGGAAGTCATAAAATTCTGTACTAAAAATATAGGGTGCCTAAGATTTTGCACAGTAATGTACATCTCAAATTGTTTTTTTGTTTTTTATACTTCTTATATCACAGTGATTTGCCAGTGATTACAATTTTAGTTTATGAATGAATGGCTAGTTACATTTATTGTTATGGAAAATGAATTAGTACCTGTTATCACCTATGCATAGCTATAAATAGTCATTTCCCTCACCAGCCACTCTTTTTTGTCTGTCTTAAGGATTAAAAGACCAAAAAACTACTGCTTGTCATGTTACTGGCAAAATGCAATTTCAGTATGCTTGCTGACTTTTGCAAAGCACTGACACTGGAGACTTCTTTCAGAAACCATACATAAATCTATTATTAGTTAGCACATTGCACCTCCAGGGTTGGGGGTTTGATTCCCACCTCTGACCATCCGTAGTTTAGTAATATGTATGTGATTGTGCCCTGCGATTGGTTGGTACCCATTCCTGGGTGTCCCCTTGCCTTGTGTCCCAGTTTCCGGAATAGGAATAGGCTCTTCGTGACCCTGTGTAGCATAATTGATAGCGAAAATGGATGGTTATATGGAGATTCATGGATGGATGGATGGATGGATGGATGGATGGATGGATGGATGGATGGATGGATGGATGGATGGATGGATGGATAGATAGATAGATAGATAGATAGATAGATAGATAGATAGATAGATAGATAGATAGATAGATAGATAGATAGATAGAAGCTATTTATGCACACTCCTTACAGTGTGGGAGTTCGGCCATTTTACAAAATATTGTATGCCTTGTAGTAATTCCTGGTGGAGTGCGAACACAGGCCAACCCTGCTGCCTGAACAGAATAAGGATGTTTCTATTTCTTATGTAATACACTTCCTCTGCAGTTTAGTTGCATCTGAGCCTAAGTATACTCTGATCCAGATGCTAGTAAGGGATGAGGAGATCGAAAGTTGTCTGAACTTTCATTGGGGTTCTTTCTTTGCCAACTGACCAGAAATGGTCAACATGCTCTCTGTGCATTATAACTACTTGTCAGAATTACTGTAATTGCCTTCATTGGGCTTATTGGTTAAAGCCTTACAAAAATCACAAGTATTTACAAAACCCAACCAGTTTTCACTCATATTGAAATATCACCTTGCTTCACTACAGTTACACTGGCTACCAGAGTCAACCCTCCTCTATTAAAAAACTGTTGCTTATGACTTTTAAAGCATTGCTCCCTTTTCAAGGCTTTTCCTTCACTAGACCTCCATATGTACTCTTAGGTCATGTGACATTGTGGTCTAACCCTGAAAATCCTACCTAAACTTTGTTAAGACTGTTCTCCTGATGCATCACAAATCAAGCTGGAAACATTCCTGTTCTTTCAACACTTTTCATTCTTCTCATAAATTTGTGAGGTTTTTTCCCTGAGTCCTGGAACACAAATTTAATGTCTCCAAGAGTTTATTTGCCACTGCACTATCTTGACTTAAACAAAATCTTCATCGTGTCGCTGTTTCTATGTAGTTATGCAACCGTAATGAAACTTCAGTGATCAGACTTTGATCAGACCTTATTATCAAATGTTAATTTTTTTAATGGGTATGTAGTGTGGTACTAGATTTGACAGTCAAACAAACCGGAGCCAGTGTGATTTAGTTTGTTACAATTAAATTTATACCTTCATTAATATTTATTGAATAACATGTGTAACTACTTGTGGTGTATTACAGCAAATGTATAATGTCAACCTATATATATTCCAGCATCAGGTGAAATTTAATACGTTTATGTTTTCATTTTAATTTCCCTTGTGAATGTGTGTGATTAGATATGATTAGAGTGTGACTGTACATTGTAATTGTTTTTCAGTATAATTATTTTAGAACTATCCCATATTTGTTACAAATTATGTAAAACAAACACAAAAAAATATGAAGGACAAATGTTTATTTATACAATTGCACAAGCAACAAAAATTTAAACACCTCTATTTTTTTGGGCATAACTCTAGAAAAAAGTGTTAAAGTAAATATAAGAATATATGAAAATAATTGCACAAACAGTCAAACATTAATCAACTGAAACATTTGTTAAATTGCTTTTGCACTTTGCTTCCTTCCTCCATCTCTGTCAGGAGCAAGTTGTAACCATCTTCTTATATATTTTTCCAGCTGTTTAAACACACACACACACACACACACACACACACATACACATGCAAAATTAAACATCAATATGGCCACATTAACAATACAACCATAATAGAATATCATTAAAAATAATAATAAATGCATTACTTTAAAAGAAAAAGAGTGGTGCAAAGGTGATCTGAATTCTGCATTTAACTTACTTTACAAACTTTTTCATTTGTTCTGGCTTCTCCTTCACTTGGCTTTCAAGCCTTTCCAGATCAGACAAAGTGGGATCAAATGTGCTGATGTCTGGTAGGTCACCATCATCCATCTATCCACCTTCTACCACTTACTCCTTTTTGAGGGTCACAGGGAAACCTGGATCCTATCCAAAGGCATAAGGCGCGGTGCCCTGTCCCCACCCTGGACAGGGTGCCAGTCCATCGCAGGGGACAATCACATACACTTTCACACACCCATTCATACACTACAGACATTTTAGACACTCCAATCAGCCTACCATGTCTTTGGACTGGGGGAGGAAACCGGAGTACTCTGAGGACAACCCCGCAGCACGGGGAGAACATGCAAACTCCGCACACACTCAGGGCCCTGGTGGGAATCGAACTCCGGATGTGTGAGGCAAACGTGCTAACCACTAAGCCACCGTGTGCCCAGGTCACCATCAGGGGGAAGATTAGGACGAGTCTAAAGGTCAGACTGGTCAGACAGGGGGCCCAGCAGAGACCGATACTTTAATGTATGATTTTGATATTTATATGTGCTTACTTCTAAAAATCTATTAGGAAGAACACTATAAGGAATGCCCTCAGACTGTGCCAAGTGCATGTGTGTCCTCTTAAGACTTTCGCAGATTATTCAGAAACACGGCAACAATTAATTGTTCTTGGTACTTAGCGTATAAGAAATTACAGGTCGACAGCTTATAAAGACATCCAGAAAGTGTTTCTATAGCGTTTGTGTATGAGAGAAAGTACATTGGTGTGAATTACTTGTACTGTATATATATCGTGAGGCGCACGGAGGCTTAGTGGTTAGTGCATACGCCTCACACCTCAAGGGATCGGGGTTCGAGTCCCTGTGTGTGCGGAGTTTGCATGTTTGCATGGGTGTGTGAGTGTGATTGTGCCCTGCAATGGACTGGCACCCTGTCCCCCACCTTGTGCCTGATGCTCCCTGGGAACCTGGGATAGGCTCCAGGTTCCCTGTGACCCTCAAAAGGAGTAAGCGATGGAGGATGATCCTCTGTATGAAGCTATTATAATTAACATACAATATTACAATTAACATACAATTAGAATATTCATCAATAGAGGATGTATATATTGTTATTTGTATATAGTTATAAATGCATCATTTCAGTTTATTTAATAAACTGGTCAAATGTAGTTCTTTATAGTCTCTTATTGAATATGCAATAATTATGCTTATTGATAATTTTTGTTTTAACTATTGGCAATAAGAAAATATATTTGGAGGGTGGGGGCTTAAGGCCCGGAATACAAATTCCAGAAACAGGTGCCCCTGCCAAGAGGTGCTGGGACTGTTAATATTATCTATCTGTCTTTTATTTCCCCTCATTGTATAAAAAAGTATTAAAACAGTGCTGTAGAAAAAATTGCAGGTTGTAATGCAATAGTGAATACATGTTTGCTAATTTCTTATAGTTCACCCAAAAATTAAAGTTCTGTCACCCTTAGGTTGTTGCTGCTGACAGACTTTTATTTTTTGTGTTTACTCTAGTAAAAGGAAATACTTAAAATCCAAAACTCAAACATCAGAGTTGCCTGTGGAAGTTTGACCCAAGCTTCCTGATATGTGTCTATAAAACACATTGTTGTTAACCTCCCCAAAAGAAGTAACAATCATGCACCACATTTGGCAGACACCCTTATCCAGAGAAAGTTACAATTATCTAATTTTATACAACTAAGCAGTTAAGTGTTACAGGCCTTTTTCAAGGGCCCAACAGTAGCAGCTTGTCAGTGCTGGGATTTGAACTCACGACGTTCCAATCAGAAGTACAACATCTTAACCACTGAGCTACCACTTTCCAAATGGCGATTTTGAACCTGAACCTTGATCCTGGTGTGAACACCTTTATTTCCATTCAGTAAGACTGTCATCCAATCAGTAGCCACCAACTACTGAAATACATCATTGTAATGCAAGATTTGAAATTTGTAAACGTAAAACTTACATAAGTCTTTATGCTAAATATGTAATAACAAAAGTTACTAATGTTTGAATATAGATTTGTTATTTGTTAAATTTTGAATATACAGCTTAAAAGCCACCATTGGAAAAAACAACATGTTGAGCTATAGTATTATCTAATAGAACAAAAAATCCTTGTAACTCTAACTAAGCCTTTATTGTCCTTGAAAAAATATGGAATCAAAACAAAGTTTGCTTAATACAATTACATTCATAAAAATGAAAAGAGTGTGGAAAGTAAAAATACAAATACCAACAACTCTGCTTTTTCTCCTTGTACACGCTGGTCAGAGTGTTGCTCGTCAAAGTTTAGTGCAGCGTGAACACTCAAGAACACTCACGTTTTTCAAGTTCCTTTATGAGTGTCTGCAAAGTAAAATACTCGAAATTTAAATGCAATTTGATGCTTACCCAAATTGTTTTATCTAAATTATCCCATATCTCTAGGTAAACAATCTTTTGTTTTGTTTGATGTTTGATGATGACCAAACCACAAACATGGTGGACATCTCCCACTACCACAGGCACAAGGCCCCTCCAACTGCTGTGCAAGTGAAAATGAAATCACCTGAGAGCATGACAAAGCGTGTTTAAATGAAATAAAAGCATATGAAAGAATGAGCTTCTGCGTTATATCTAAATATATTTCCTACTGTTATAAATATTAGTGCATGTTCTGTCTTATACTATTATTATTTTTAATTCATGTTTTACCGCAGATACTTTGTTTTTGACAAATTCATGACATTAAACGTGCAGTTAACACATTATCAGGTACTGTCAGAGAATTAAGTAAATTTTATGTTACACATATAATTATTGCTACATTAATGTAAACATTAATCTGATTGAACCAAGCCGAGTCATTGCAAGAAGTGGCACAATTTCACGTATTAAACGTTATGGAAGTGAGGACGGATGCAAGTGCAGTTAAAGACTTTTATTTGCGAGGATCAGGCAGACAAATCCAAATCATGAGACCGTAGCATGGTTGAAATAACGGGCAATGTGTCAGACGATCTACAAACAGACATAAACTGGGCAAGGCTTGAATCAGAAATGAGAAACGAGAAACAACTGCGTGGCTGCAAGACAACACTCAATATTATGCAACATACAGTGCCTTGCGAAAGTATTTGGCCCCCTTGAACTTTTCAACCTTTTGCCATTTCAGGCTTCAAACATAAAGATATAAAATAAAAATTTTTTGTGAAGAATCACCAACAAGTGGGACACAATTGTGAAGTGGAACGAAATCTATTGGATTTTTGAAACTTTTTTAACTAATAAAAAAATTAAAAGTGGGGCGTGCAAAATTATTCGGCCCCCTTGCGTTAATACTTTGTAGAGCCACCTTTTGCTGCGATTACAGCTGCAAGTCACTTGGGGTATGTCTCTATCAGTTTTGCACATCGAGAGACTGAAATTCTTTCCCATTTTTCCTTGCAAAACAGCTCGAGCTCAGTGAGGTTGGATGGAGAGCGTTTGTGAACAGCAGTTTTCAGCTCTTTCCACAGATTCTCAATTGGATTCAGGTCTGGACTTTGACTTGGCCATTCTAACACCTGGATACGTTTATTTGTGAACCATTCCTTTGTAGATTTTGCTGTATGTTTGGGATCATTGTCTTGTTGGAAGATAAATCTCCGTCCCAGTTTCAGGTCCTTTGCAGACTCCAACAGGTTTTCATCCAGAATGGTCCTGTATTTGGCTGCATCCATCTTCCCCTCAATTTTAACCATCTTCCCTCTCCCTGCTGAAGAACAGCAGGCCCGAACCATGATGCTGCCACCACCATGTTTGACAGTGGGGATGGTGTGTTGAGGGTGATGAGCTGTGCTGCTTTTACGCTTTTTAAGTTTTGCATTGTGGGCAAAAAGTTTGATTTTGGTTTCATCTGACCAGAGCACCTTCTTCCACATGTTTGGTGTGTCTCCCAGGTGGCTTGGGCAAACTTTAGACAAGACTTTTTATGGATATCTTTGAGAAATGGCTTTTTTCTTGCCACTCTTCCATAAAGGCCAGATTTGTGCAGTGTACGACTGATTGTTGTCCTATGGACAGACTCTCCCACCTCAGCTGTAGTTCTCTACAGTTCATCCAGAGTGATCATGGGCCTCTTGGCTGCATCTCTGATCAGTCTTCTCCTTGTCTGAGCTGAAAGTTTAGAGGGACGGGCAGGTCTTGGTAGATTTGCAGTGGTCTGATACTCCTTCCATTTCAAAATGATCGCTTGCACACTGCTCCTTGGGATGTTTAAATCTTGGGAAATCTTTTTGTATCCAAATCCGGCTTTAAACTTCTCCACAACAGTATTACGGACCTGCCTGGTGTGTTCCTTGGTCTTCATGATGCTCTCTGCGCTTTCAACAGAACCCTGAGACTATCACAGGGTAGGTGCATTTATACAGAGACTTGATTACACACAGGTGGATTCTATTGATCACCATCAGTCATTTAGGACAACATCGGATCATTCAGAGATCCTCGCTGAACTTCTGGAGTGAGTTTGCTGCACTGAAAGTAAAGGAGCCGAATAATTTTGCACGCACCACTTTTCAGTTTTTTATTTGCTAAAAAAGTTTAAAATATCCAATAGATTTCGTTCCACTTCACAATTGTGTCCCACTTGTTGGTGATTCTTCACAAAAAATTAAAATTTTATATCTTTATGTTTGAAGCCTGAAATGTGGCAAAAGGTTGAAAAGTTCAAGGGGGCCGAATACTTTCGCAAGGCACTGTACATATTACGCAAAAGAGACACGAGGGTTTAAATGACAAACATAATCAGGGGTGAAATACAAATCAGCTGAAAAATACGATGGCACACCTAGGGGAAACAATCAAATGACAGGACAAAAACCATAACAAAAGCACAAGTGAACAAACTTAATGTCACTGAAGACCCAAAAGCATGCGTGCGCTAAGAGCTCGCGCTTCAAGCTCGCGCATCAAACTCGCTGCATGCTACAGCATTAGTTCGAGGGGAAATGGTGACACCCAGACTCTATAGCCAGATCCGGTGAACAAGTGCTTTACCAGCGTAACAAAAACACATGTCCCATACGAGCTGTGGATAATACATGGATAATACGTGCCGAGTCTAGGTACAGAATTTGTCCATAATGATCTTTTAAGAGTAAAGAATTAAAGGTATAATAATCTAATTGTACAAAATTGCACAACTACAAGGAATGGTACCGTTTAGTGTAGCTAAGACCCTGTATAAGAATTCATTGGTACTGAACCTAAACATGAAGAGATCCAATGCATTTGTGATGATTTGTTGTGTTACTTCCTATCTTGGTAATTGTCCAAATGACACATACTCTGTGCATAATGTTCAAAGAATGTACTGCATATGGGAAAATTGGATAAATGTATCATGTCCACGATGGATCATATTGTATTTACAGGTGTACAAAATTGAGAGAATTTCTTCATCTTCTTCATCATTTAACATAAGTTATATCCTACTGTAGTTAATCTACCGTAAAGGTAAATTTGAGATTCCAGCAATGGATCAATAGACTTGCTAAAATATTTTTTTAAATGTCCAGCTTCTTTTGCCTTATATTTTGGAGTGTTGACAATTGAAAGTTGGTTTAAACAAAAAGCCATAACAGCCCTCTGCCCTTTTTGTTTCTTTCCTAGGGTCTAATGGTGTATGGTCATAAGCCCCTTAGGCATTATCCTTTAATTACACCTGTCCTATAACATGACTTTACTCAGAAAACGTTTGACTTACATTACATTCCCTTCTCTCAAGATATTATTACATCTGACATATTATTACATCTGTCGGAATGCTCTGTTGGTCCCTTTGTATTTTCGTTATCTCAGGCTGAGCAACAAGCCATGGAGGGGTATAT